CGGGAGGGAGTGGGGTGGGGCGGTGAGGGTGGTGGGGGCAGGGTTAGGGCAGGCCTGTGAGAGCTGGGAGTCTGTCCAGGGGCAGACCTGGGCTCCGGATGCAAATGCTTGTTTGGGATCAGTGTGAAAGAGGGGGTGGCTGGAGGCGATAAACACTCAGTGTATGGGCGGGGGATCGTACACTGTGGGCCAGCTCAGTGGACCCCAGTGGAGCTACGGCCCATTGACCCAGCTGGGGTCTGGCCCCATTGACTTGGGTGGAGCTATGGCTGACAGCTGGGGCTTGGCCCTGTATCTGGCAGACTCTGAAGGTCATTTACGCCTCCAGGCTTTGTGTATTAGTGGCTGAGACTGGGATGGAGCAAGACTCACAAGGGGACGCCCCTCTTCTCTCTCTCTCTCTCTGACACACACACACACCCCCAGTCCTCTGATCAGCTCCCCCTCCATCCCTCTGCTTCCTGCACTGTAAGGCAGCTGAATCAATTCCCCTGCCTTGCTCTCGAAGTGCTGGAGAGGCTGTCGCTCGCTGTGGGGACAGGCCAGGAATCGAGGGGTCTCTGGGAGGAAACTTGGTTAATACGCTTCAGAGCCAGGGACTTTCTTGGGCCTGTGAGAGGTGCTGATGGTTGGGTTTTCCCCCATCTGCCTCTTCCCATGCCTGCTTCTTCCCCCAGAGCTGCCTGCCTGCTATTTGCTACTGGCCCTTCGCTGCCCCCTCCTGCCTTCAGGATACAGCAGGGGCAGGGCAGGCAGAGGGCCAAAGCTGAGCAGCTGTTGGGCGGCCAGCCCCAGGCCACCAAAGCAGCAGCCCCTGTGAACCCACGGAGCCCATGCCCGTGAAGGGAGCTGGCAGGGCTGAGGGGCACTGTATTGCAGGGGCAGGGCATCAGGCAGGGGGCTGGCCCCAGTGTCCTGGTGCAGCAGTAGAGGGGCGCTGTGATGTGGGGGGGCAAGCAGGGGGCTGGCCCCAGTGCCCCGTTGCAGCACCAGGGGGTGCTGTGCTGCAGGGGCCTGGCCCCAGTACCCCAGGGCAACACTAGGGGGCGCTGTGCTGCAGAGTACAAGATGCTGACACATCTGGCTCTTGTCAGAGTAGATGGGTCCCTGCGCCCATGGGCACTGAGCACGCCGAGAGCCTGCAGAAGGTGCCTCCCCGGGCACAGCTGGCAACGCGGGCTGCTAGGGAGATCTGGGGGGCTCTCCCTGCTACCCCACCTGTAATTAACTCAGTGAGTGACCCCTTCCCTGGCTACTGAAGCAGCCACTCCTTGCCTCAGCTGGGATCAGGGTGCTGGGCGCTGCCCAGACGCAGCCAGAGACAGGCCCTGCTGCAGCTTGGGTCAGGGCTAATCCAAGCAGGGAAGCCTGGTGCATGATGGGAGATGTAGTCCAACCTCTCCAGGACACTAACTCCCACAAGGCACCACAATTGCATTTTCCACTGACAGTATTTCAGGGCCCCAGTTTTTACCAACAGATGTGTGTGGGGGTTGGGGCTGGGGCGGCTGCCTCTCACAGAGACAGGCCCTGCTGCAGCTTGGGTCAGGGCTAATCCAAGCAGGGAAGCCTGGTGCATGATGGGAGATGTAGTCCAACCTCTCCAGGACACTAACTCCCACAAGGTCAGTGTTTATGCGCCTCGCACAGACTCTCTTTCCAGGCCAGGCGGGTTTGTCCCCCGTTCGGGGGAGGGGGAAGTGGAGGCGGGGGGGTGTTCCAGGGAGCGTGCGGTGGACCTGAGAATGGGACCCGAGGCCCTGGTGTCCTCGCCCAGTATCTGAGTCCTGACGCCACCCTGAGAGGTGCCATCCTGGGTCTGGTGGATGGCAGATGTGGAGTCACCAGCTGCAGTGCCTGGGATGTCTGGGCTGCCTTGAGAGGCCGAGGGGGGGAGGGGGGGCGGTTGTGTTCCACTGGGTGTCGGTGAACACAACGTCTGGCATAATTCCAGAATAACTCTGTTGATTTCCGCATGGCTCCTTGTCAGCGTGAAGGCCGGGCGGGGCCGCGCGTCAGGGTCTGACTCGTTTACTGTCACTAAAAACAGGGTCCGGATGTATCCCCTGGTTTCCTTCACTCCCCCATAGCCAGTTCTGACGGGCTGCCGGTCGATTGAGGAGGGGAAAGACCCCCCCACCCTGCCTCTCTGAGCCCCCGCCCTGGGGCCAGATGAAATGTGATGGTCCTTAGCTGCTATTCCCTGAGCCAGGCTGTTCCGGAGCAGCGCCGGAGCCCGGTCCATGTTGGGGCCCTTCTGCATGCTGACCTGGGGCGTTAGCATTTCTTAGGGTGATGTTTCGCAGGGCGTTAATCAGTGTGTAACGCCCGCTCCCCCATTCCCCCCCTTCCCTCCTCTGCAGGGCTAGAACCAGGGGACCAGTGGATCTCAAAGCGCAAGTGCCTTTGGCGTCACCTGCTCCAGCCATGCAGAGGAAGTCGCTGACTCCTGCCATTCCTGACCTAGGCACGCGGGAGTGACTCACACCTCAGGGTCACTGAGTCAGGAGCGACCCTACAAAAACAAAGCTGCAAACACAGTCCGGGCACGTTGTGGGGCAGCCGCGTTGCCAAGTGCCCACCCGTTGCCTCCATCTGATAGCTGTAGCCCCTAGTGTGAAAGAGGATGGCCAGTGAGGTGAGGTTTCAGGGGTGCGGTTAAAGGCCCCTGGTTTACCTGGGGCTAGCAGGCACGCACGAAACTGACCAGGTGGAAAGGAACCCAAGGGCTCCAGCCTGGTGTAAGCTGCTAAGTAAATCTCCGCGCCGTCCGAGTCCCGTGCATAGGAGCATCCCTTGGCAGTTATGTTCCACGCTGGCTTCCGGTTAGGACATGGGCCTTGTCTTGCCTGGCCCACGGGCAGGGTTAGATTTAAACCAATTCTAATACCCGATGGCGAAGGCAGCTGCCTGAGCCTTCCGCGGCGGGAAAGCTGAGAAAATTGCCATGTGCACTGGAGCTGGAAACTTTTGGGAAGTATCTGGGTTGGATTTCAGGCTCATTTGTGTTTATGGTAGGACTTACAGGGAGTGTTGTCAGTGTCAGACCCACTGCACGAGGCAAATCCTGCCCCAGCCAAGATGGGGGGTGCCCCCCCACCCCAGGCACTTAGAAACAGTCTCTGAGCCTGGGGCAGGGAGTCTGACAGACTAGGACTCAAACCCAGTTCCTACTCTAGCTCCTCAGGCGGTAGCTCGTCGCTCTTCCTGCTCGCCACCTCTCTGGAGAGGGTAGCGAGTGCTGGCAAAAGAGGTCGGGCGAAACTGATCCGGCCGCAAATGCAGCTGCATCTGGGGTGAGGCGCTTCCACAGCACACAGCAACGGTGCCGAGTGTAGGACAGGAAGGCGAGGAGAGCCCCGGAGCAGGTTAGAAGGGAAGGGGGAGGAGGTGGGGGCAGGATTAGCTCTTTGCAGGAGTCCGGGTGTCCTTGGCGAACGAAGCCTTCTCCAGCCGCGAGCTGGGTGCAGGGGACGGTTCATATGTTGTCAGCTGGGTCCTGTTCGGTTTCTGCTCAGTCCGGTGGCTTGGCGGCATGGCTGTGTGTCTGGTCTTCGCATCCTGAGGTGGCCAAGAGCCACACGGCCTGGCGCACAGTCGCAGAGTGAATTAACTGCCTCCTCTAGCACGAGCGGCTCCCAGGGTCTGCTGCTCCCTCTGGCGTCCTCTTGGAGAACAGAGAAAGGGAGTGGGGCCTAGTGGTTAGCTCCAGAACTCCTGGGTTCTCTCCCCAGCTCTGGAAGGGGAGTGGGGCCTCCTGGGTTCTCTCCCCAGCTCTGGGAGGGGAGTAGGGGCCTAGTGGTTAGAGCAGAGGGGTGGGAACCAGGGCACAGCAGCTCACGCTGGGTGTTGTCTCCTTCTGTCTTCCAGCCACAGGAAAGGACAAGAAGCTGAGGAA